ATATATATATATATATATGGAATGCCTCACGAATTTGCCCCTTGCATGGGGGCCATGCTAATCATCTCTGTATTGTTCCAATTTTAGTATATGTGCTGCCGAAGAGAGCACTAAATGGGATTCTTAAATGTCTAACATGGTCTAGACATATAACACACACTAGTTACTATCAGCTTCCAGTGGGATCCACACACTAACTAGGAAGTTAGAAACTAGTAAGTTTCTAAAAGCAGGAATCAAAGATATCTTCTGCTGATTAATCATCATTCATTCAGTTAAAAAGCTTCTGCAGAGAATCCTGGGAGTTTTAGATCCTACCATGGCATGGAGTTTTCATGACATGACATGTCCAGCCTGGAGACTGCCTTGTACTCAGAGAGCCTAATAGTCCATGGAGGTATATTACAAGTGGCAAGATTCTAGAGCAGCAGATGTGTTCAGTGACTGTTACTTAGACACTAGGGCCTGACTAAGAATGATCAAGATAGAGAATAAAGTGCCTATGAGGAAGGCTCTTATGGAAAAGCTTGACCCTAAGGATGGGAGAATTTGGACCTGCAGGAAGGAATATTGAACACTCCAGGCAGATGGCCCAGAGGTAGGACAATGTGTGCCATGAAGAAGGAGCAACACAGTGACCTGACTTGCCATGTTGTTCATCATACAGCTTAAACCTAGTGTAGCAGTGAGTATCTTGTTCCACCAATGGTCTTTCTGAAAATGCTGGGCTGAGCCCATCCCAAGCTTATGGGATGGGAGTTGGAAAATCCTCAGAAGGTGAGCCTGGAGTGGAAAGACTGGCAGGCCAGCAGCCTTTCTTCTCTGATATTCTTTCCTTCCAGTCAGCAGGGGTCCCTGGCCTGGGCTCTGCCAGTGGCAGCCCTATTAGTTTACCAAGGTTTACTATCTTCCTGTACATGAGCATCTGGAAAAATGGTGATGTACATAATACTCCTCCCTATACAAATCTCTCTCTCCCTGTCTCTCTCTGTCTCTGACTTTCTCTCTCCTTCTGTCTGTCTGTCTCTGACTCTCTCTCCCTCTCTCTCACACACACATACACATAATCTACAACTATGTGATTAAGGCTTTAGATTTTGGAACCATACTCATGATGTTGACTTACTAGCTATGTGATTTTGAGTAAGTTACTTAAGATTTCTGCTTTCTAGATGCCTCATCTACAAAGTAAGATATTACCATATATACCAGAGTGATAAGGAGGATGTGGTGAGTCAAGGTGTGCAAAAGATCTAGATCACTGGAAGAGTATTCATCATAAAAGAGGGTTGTAAAACAAGTGAAATATACTATGTATCTACTCCTCTGTGATAAGTTAGGTCTACCAAGTCTCTTTATCTGTCCTTCTGGGGATAAAAACACTCAACCAACAATACTATTTTACAAAAGGTGCTTCAATTACCATTGTCCTATGCAAGATGACTTTAAGTGGCACATGATAAATGTTGCTTAGTTTAATATTTATTTGTGATGTATTTTAGGAAGAAACAGAAGATCAGACACATAGCTGATTTCATTAGTTCAGTCAAGCTAAGGTGGGAAAAAAAAATGAGTAGACTGGCAGTAGAAATCTATTATCAGGGTTAAGAAAAAAAATTAGGTCAACAGTGAGCAGATATAACGGGCCCTCTTACAACGGTAGTTAGGCCTGACTCCACAGCAGCCTTGGGAGAGTGGGTGGCAGCCACTCTTGGGAGGTAGGGGCTGGGGGAGGGAATGGAGACATAGCCTATTCTAGTCTTCAAGACATCTGGCCCCAGCACACTGAATGCTGGGCTGCTTTCTCCCCATTCCATATCTTGCAGTATCCATCCCTTCCAAGCCTGTTCTTCTCAAGCCAGGCTGAGGCACTCATCCCTCTTCAGACTCTTCTACTCAAGTACATCTACCTCCAGACTGAAGTCAGACAATCACTACCATACTGAGTCCTCCTTACTGCAGGGTAGAAACAACAAAACAGTACTGCCTACGGGATAAAAAGCACTTAACCTCTCTCTGTCTCTCTCCACAATGCTAGGAGGGCCAAGTCTTGGGACAGGAGCCAGAATGATGAACACTGGGGAGAAGAAGGTCTCTCCTCACTCAGTTCGGGGGGCCTTAGCTGAAAAAAGCAGTAGAGGCCTGCAGCTACGGCTGAAGAAGGCCTTTAGGCCTGGAGGGCCCAATGAGGCCTTCCTTGGCTTTCAGACCCAGAGCCCAGATACTGTAGGGCAGTGTGGGGGCCTCCTCCCCAAGTCCCCTGGGATGTGTGTGTGTGATGTGTGTGTGTGATGTGTGTGTGTGTGTGTGTGTGTGTGTGTATCAGGCTCCCTCCTAGGCCAGCTGCTACAGAACCTTCCGGCTCTAACATTCCAACCCCTCTTAAAGGGCCAGTCTCAGCCTTCAAACTCTGTCCATGGCCCTTCAGCTGGGTTATAGGAGACTTGCCAGAGAGGGGTGGATGGAGAATACCAAGAGACTCTTCTCAGCCTTCCCCTTAGGATCTGAGGCCTTTCCCAACGTCAGCCTCTCACCACCGTCCGTAGGAAAACGACCCCTAATTCCGAGGGGACATCAGCACCTGGGTTAGTGAGGGCTCCTCCTCAGGGTGAGGCAAAATTGGCTCCCTTGACAACGTCCCACTTGGCCCACAGGGAAGAGTGGAAACAGCGCAACAAACATCAGGGCTGCACAGCCTGGCGTGGAACACCCCCTCCCACACTCTCCCCCCCCCCCGAGTTCAAAGTCCCACAGCATAGCCTTAGATGAGGGATACTCCAAATATGGCTCTGTGTTGCCGAGCTGAATAGCTGGGTGCCAAACACCCCAGGATCTATGCTAAGGGCTGGGGACGCTGGCATTGGAATTGGTAGGACGAGTGTCTTTGTGGGCCACTAGTCTCTCGGGGAGGTACAGGGGGCTTGACTGGCAGGCACTCCGATTGCTCTGGAGAAGCCAGACGTCCCCATACTAGAGGAGACAAGACCCCACCCCCCACCCCCCGAGTCTCCAGAGAGGCTGGGGCTCCAGCTCTACCGAAAGCCAACGGAGGCCCAAATGGGCCGAGTAGCCCCCCCCCCCGCAGCAGCAAGCAGGGCAAAGGCCAGACGCGAGGAAGTCCAAGCTGGTCGTGTTGCCCCTCGAAGAGGAGGGGTCGGGCTCCCCGGAGGCGGGGCGGGGCGGGGGCCATCCTCACCCGAAATCGTCGTCCATAGACTTGAAGAAGAACTTATAGCTGGGTCGCTGCAGGACGCCCTTAAAGTCGGCCAAGGTGACGCGCTCGGCGGGCAGGGGCAGCTTCACCAGGTACGGCGTCTCCTGCCCGTCCAGGTGGTAGATGATCTTGGTCTCC